TTCCAACTCCAGGAGTTGATAATATAAATAATTCTTTTCTCATGGAGCACCAGAGGAAATCTCAGTGCCTAGTTTCCTTGTAGAAGGGGCAATTCAAGCTGAATAAATGATTTCCCACTTAATAATGTTAATATTATTAAATATTATTTAAGACTAATATTTGTCTATGCTATGCCTGATACTGTACTTCGAGTTCTACAAAATTTATTCGATATTTAGAAGAAGTCTATAACATTACCTACCTACAACTCACAGATGAGGAAACCATATCTCAGAAAGGTTAAATAACTTACCAAAATCACACAGCTAGCAAAAGGCCAGATAAAATATTAAACCAAGTTTGTCTGAATTGCAAACTTGGTTCTCAACAACACAGGGAGTCTGTGGAGCACTGTTGTTATGCTCCATCTTATTGACAAAAATACCCAAACAAACAAAAAATAAACACCGGCATCTGGAAGTCCAGGTAAACTAGCGAGAAATTGTGCCAGTGTCTAGAAAAAAGCAGAGTGAACACATCATCTCATTCTCACCCTCTCTCTAGTCTTTCACACACCCTCTGTATTTTTGCTTATTTGTCCACAGGTCAAAGGTCTCTTTCTCATTCCTTTGGTGAAACTGGCCTTCCAATTTGGTGGAAACCCTGAGGTGTTTGGTGCTATTTTAAAATGTCTTCTACAGATTGGAAATACCTTTGCAATTGAAGCTGAATTCAACTTGGCATTTACAATGTACTTTATAGTTCAAGTCTTTGTGGCAGGTGTTGTACCAGAAAGAAGTATCTCAATGTTTTCAAATTATTTAATTACTGTTTTTATTACACTTACAAGCAGATATATTTTGATATGTGCCTTAGTGGATTCAAAGTAACCCTAAATTCTAACAACAGTAAGAGGCTTTTTCTACTCAAAACAGTCAAGCTATTTTATTTTGAAAGTAGAGGATTTTAGGTAGTTTTTGAAAATATGACATTCTATTGTGTCCTTATAACTCCAGTGATTTGTTGTAAACACACTCAAACATTTGAAAACTGCAGGGTGCTTTTCGATACTGTGGGGGTGTTCTGCATTGATGGTGCACCAAGGCCACTAACATTTTTAAATTCTTCTGTTCTCACAAGGAATTGTGTTTGTTAGGTTAAACCATTTTTCCTCGAGGTAGTCACAATGGACAGAAACCTTTTCAGCAGTTCGTTTCTGATCAGTAGCCCAGAAAGGCTTTAACGAAGAAGTTATAGTTCAGTTTTTCCAAGTTAGCATTTCCTGCCTCTTGGTTCTCCTGATTATTGGGCTGCTTTGGGGCCCGAAATGAAAGATAGGAAGAAAAAAGGGAAAATCAATGAATGTACCCTAGCAAATGGTGCCTTGCTTTCAGGCAGCTGTGTCTGGAAGGACTTTGTTTAATATTTGATGTGCATATCCTAGAGAAAAAAAGATACATGTTTTAGAAATTTTACTGTTTTTAACAATGCAGGCAGTTTCCCATTCCCACTGCACATACGTGCAACATTCAAGCTTCTGCAGAGAGGCAACCAGCATGTATTGCTTAAAAGGTGTTTGGTTTGGATTTTTTTGTTTTTTTTTCAAGATTTCGGATTGCTTTTTTCTTTTTTGAATCTGTGTGTCAAATGACAGGGACCAATATTCATCTTCTTTTCCTGTAAAACTCAGAAAGACCCATGAAAGAACGTAGAAATGCATTTCTTAAAGGGATTTATTGCAGCTATTTTAAATAATTTATACACACACACACACACACACACACACACACACACACTTAGATCCCCCGAGGGCAAATCTCCCCTCCTTTTTACTGGTGCAAAATCAGTAGCTACAATAACTGAAATCCACTTTTTTGGACGGTGACATTTCAGTAGGCTTTTTGGACGGTGACATTTCAGCAGGTTTTCACCTAGACACCGAAATGCCCGGCGTCTCACGGGCTGTTCCTCTGGGCCACCGACTCACACAGCTGCCGCCCAGGGCCTCGCCAAGGGCTCGTCTTGTGCAAAAGTTCCCCCGCTATGAGCCCGGGTCTGAGTTTGCTTGAGGAAACCCGTGCAGCTCTGGAGCCAAGGGGACAAGGGGAAACACGATCTGCTGCGGAGGCCGATGCTCTGAATCGGTGGCCGAAGACCGGCGATCTGGCCTCTTTTCCACGCCGCCCTAACTGCCCACCCCACCCCCCAGCCCCTATCCCCGCTTGATGTAGGATTCCGCTTTTCCGAGAGCAGCTGCTCAAGCCGCATCCCCCCCGCGTGGGTGGTTGCGAGTTTCTCCTGGAAACGCTTTCCGAGTCCATCTTTCGGAATCCCGCGGGCGAGAGGCGCCACAGCCTCCCGGGATCTCTTGATCGCCGCCCGCCGCCACGCCGCAGACGCTGTCCGGCGCGCGGGACGCGAACGGGTGGAGCCAAAGGGAGCCCACCCGCACGCGCCACCTCCCTGCGTGGCCGCCTGATGCGGTCTTTGTCCGCGCGCCCTTCCTCCGGGGCCGCGCACTCCCGAGTCCGGCCGGCAGGTGGCGCGGTTGGTTCACGATGAGCCGCTGCCGGGGCTGGAGGGGCGCGACGGCCCCCCCGCTGTGGCCCCGCGGCTGGGACCCAGGCTGGCCAGGAACGCTCGACCCTGCCCCGGAGGGAGCCGGAGGAGGGGTGGCCTGGGAAGGGAAAGAGAGGCTGCGTGGCCAGGGCTCGGGGTCCCTTCGCACGCCTGGGGAAATGCGCCGAGCAGCGCGGAGGACCGGTCCGCTCAGGGGG